ATTCCCTGGTGGTGGAAATAAGTTTGTACTAATTTGTCAAGCTCAACAACCTTTGGTTACGGCTACGTTTCTGGTCTTATACATAGTGATAAATGAGTTTGACGTTTGTTTCCTGTTATTAATAGCTTAACTGGGTTAACAGTACTGTTCCCCATCACCAATGTGTACTAATAAATGTTAAAAATTCATGGGAATATACTTGAAAAATATTTTGAATTCATTTGGATGCCCATAATTATGACATAAATATGTTTTTTGATTAAAAATCACATTTGTCTGTAATTTGTTCCCAGTGAGTTAATAATTCAAGTAAAAAATCAAAAGGTTAAACAATTAAGACCTTTTTCAGAGTCTTTTTTGCTCATTGGCAAGGGTGCCAATATTTAAACAATCCAATGCAAAATTCACTTACTTCTAGATTTAGATTATGGCTGACATGTCGGTCACAGATGCCACAATCAAAATACAGGTCATGGCAAACCTGAAAAAATGTTCAAGGTTCAGCATAGTATAATACCAATAGCAAACACACATATATGGAATCAGTTGTTGTCAATATCCTGTTGGTTATGGATCAGATGTGCATTGTTGGTTCATGTTGATTAGATGTCTTTTCTGTTGTTGTTGATTAACCTACAATGCTGATTAAGTTATTATATGTCTGTGTACCGTCAGCTAACAATTAGATTCATTTGACTATGACTGATTAAAAGTCATCAAAACAACAGCAATAGACTTGAGCAACGTCCACCTTCCCTCAGCAGCCAAAGCTGTGACTTGTTTTGTGCACGTACTGTATGGAGGTATTAATATGCTGATTATCCTCATGACCTTTTGCTTAAGATGGATGCGAGGCCTTTATATAGATATGAACTTTACCTAAACAAAGGGATTATAGGTATTTTATGATAAGACTCTGTATCGTTGTTCCATCAAGGCTGGCATTTTTCAGTTGTTTTTACAATTCACCAAGTCTATTTGAAATGCAATATCAGAAATACGAAGATTCTTTTTCTTCTTAAAAGAAAGACAGTTGAGTGGAAGACTAATTGTTCAATAAGATCATTTATCTTTAATCATTTAAATTTAATTTAATTTTAGTATATATTTGGTTTAGTAAGTGTATAAAGAGTCTTTCAGAAAAATATTGACAATTTTTTGTTAATTTACATTTTTATTTATTGAATTTTATTTTAGTATACACATAATTTAATACAGTACTTGCAATTCAGGAAAAGATCAATTTTATGATGGATAACAACATAATTTTATTAAATTCTATGCTTTTATTTAAGAATTTACTACATATTTTAATACTTTTAACTGTATTTTTGATAATGTTTACTTTAGTAAATGGTTTTAATCTATTACATTTATTTTAGTATATTTTATATGCATACAGTGCATATTCACTGCTCTTCACTTTTTCTATATTCCAAAATGGATGATGCTACAAACTTGCACACCTTATTTGGGCAGTTTTTCCCATTCTTCTTTGCACTACCTCTCAAGCTTTGGAAGATTGGATGGGGGAGCATTCGTTCACAGAATTTTTTTAGATTTTTCTATGTTCAATTGGGTTCAGATCTGGGCTCTGGCTGGGCCACTCATAGACATTCAAGGAGTTGTCCCTTAGCCACTACTTTGTTATCTTGGCTGTGTGCTTAAAGGATTAGTTCACCCAAAAATGAAAATCCTGTTTTTAAATAGTCACTCTCATGTAATTCTAATCCATTTAGTCCTTCATTCATCTTTGAAAGCACAAATGGGGTATATCCCGAAGCATGCTAATAGGACTTTTAATTTGCCATTAACCTGGGTTAAGCGCTTCCGACGAATTGAATGCCAATGCAAAATCCGGTGCGTTTAAGGTCTGTTTTCTTTAAAAATCAGCGATCTCCACTAGCTGAGTGATAGCCGATTTAAAGTGGGTCTCAGATTGTACAAGAAGCACTGCATTAAATTACATTTCCCCCGCCATATCTTTATTGTACGAGCATTTATTTTACCCCAGTATATTCAATGGAGCTTCTGCGTTAGCCTGCCGATTGTGACGAGCGCATGCGAGTAAACAGCTTTTTGTCTCGTTTTACGCTTGAGTAACTAAATAAATGCTAAAGTTTATTTAACTGAATGTATTTTAATGACATTACAACATCGATGCTGTATAAGGAACTGTATAAAATGAGAAAAAGTTCACAATAACAGGTCACCGGAAGTGTATCAGCATGGGAACAGCACTAGCTCGGCATATACCCTATTAAGATATTTTAGCTCCCTCGTCCTCCATAGCCATCAATGTCATGGGATGATCTGAAGTTCAGGTCAGAAGAATGGTCAGGGGAAGTTCAGAAAAGCAACCAAAAACATTATCTAAACATGTGAATTCATTGGTTCAACTGTAATTATACAAACTTCCAAGAACACTTTTGTGTGCCAAGTGCTTAATGATTTTATTCACCTGTGTCTTCCATATAGATCAGGGTGCGCATTTACTACGCATTTAATACGACGTTTGCGTATTGCGCTGCTGACTCTATTTGCAATATGTTGTACTGCCCGTAGTAAACTCACTCTGACCTGAGAAGGGAAAGAGGATATAGTTGAACAAAGTCATTGAAAATCTGGTTTCCTCCAGATAAAGTGTTCAGTCTTTGTTTCATAAGACAAGATCATTTTCTTTTCAATATTGTAATTGATTGCCCCCGGTCACTCAGATCACTCTAGGAAGAATTCCAGGGGTTCCAAATGTCTTCAATTTATGAATAATGAAGGCCACTGTACTCATTGGGAGCTATAATGCTTCTTAAATTTTTATGTACTCTTTTTCAGATCTGCCCCTCGATACAATGTCTCTGGATTGTACCAACAATTTCTTGGTCTGTGCTCTAACACTGAAAGTATATACAGTTGAAACCAGAAGTTTTTTACATACACTCAAAAAAAGGAACATAACCATTTTTTAAAAAATGTCTGATGGTAAATCATACTAAATGTTTACTATGTTAGGTCTGTTAGGATTACCTAAATGATTAACATTTGCTAAATGCCAGAATAATGAGATTTTTAATATAGATTTTTTTGCTTTTTTTTTTTTTGCTTTTAAACTGTATAACTTTGGTCAAATGTTTTGGTTATCCTTCCACAAGATTCTTACAATAGTTTGAAGTAATTTTGGCCCATTCCTCCTGACAGAATTGGTGTAACTGAGTCAGATTTGTCTTGCTCGCACAAGCTTTTCAACTGTGTCTACAAATTTTCTACAGGATTAAGAACAGGGCTTTGTGATGGCCACTCCAAAATATTCACTCTGTTGTCCTTAAAGCACTTTTTAACTAATTTGGCAATATGCTTAGGGTCATGGTCTGTTTGGAAGACCCATTTGTGGCCAAGTTTTTATTTCCTGGCTGAGGTCTTGAGATGTTGCTTCAATATTTCTACATAATGTTTTTTCTTCAAGATGCCATATGCTGTGAAGTGGACCAGTCCCTTCTGCAACAAAACAGCCCCACAACATGATGCTGCTGCCCCCATACTTCACAGTTGGGATGGTGTACGGCTTGTAAGCTTTCCCCTTTGTCCTCATGTAACAGAGGTCATTATGGCCAAAAAGTTCAATCTTAGTTCTATCAGCCCACAAGGTAGGTCTCCAAAAGTTATTCTTTTTCCCAGTTTAATTTAGCAAATTGTAATCTAGCTTTTTTGTTGATTCTGGCTTGTTGATTTTCCCATGTTTTTTCATAAGGAAGCAGTTTGTTTGAGGTTTTCCTTAAATATTTTTCTACAGTTGTGCCTTTAATTAACTCAAATGTTGTCAGTTAGCCAATCAGAAGCTTCCAAAACCTTGACATCATCATCTGAGCTTTTTCAGAAACATAATCTTATTGCATGTAAAATTGACTTTCAAAAAAGCATTCAAGCAATTTCTCCAAAATATCTCTCTCATTATTCTGCTATTAATCATAACAAATAACAAATTTGATAATCATTACCTAACTTGCCTAAAAGAGAAAAAGTTTAGTCACATTAACATCTGACTTTTTTTTTTAAATAGTTATGTGCCTTCTGATACAGTGTATGTAAACTTTTGGTTTCAACTGCATATATAGCAAAAAATTTAAAACAAACATCTTTAAAGAATGCCACTATGGGGTATAGTTTGCAGAATTATAATTGTTATCAGTTTGCAGTAAGACTTTAACAAAAAAATGTGTTAAAAAAATAAAGCACTGTGAATTCTTTCTGGATGCATTGTAGATTTCATGCAGTACTTCATTTAGTTTTAAATTGAATAACTATTAAGTATATAGATTTCATACAGTACTTGTAACTTGTACTTGTACAATACTTGTAAAATATTAACATAATTGAAATAATCATATTTATATTTTATTGCATGCTTCATTTCATTGCGATTTTATTTGAATAAATAGTATTCTTTTATTTATTAATTAACTTTAGTACATTTTTAAAATAATTTTCATATAGTGTGCACAGATTTTATTTAATTGATATTAGTGTATTTTATTTTATTGTAGTATAGGTTTGTAAGTATATTTAGATTTGTCATTCAAGATAGATTATCATTTTATTTTAATTTAGTCTATTTTATTGTATTGATATTCTATTCTATTTTATTTGTATTTTTACTTTTATCTTAGGACATTTTATTATCTTTAACTTTTTGATTTTGTACATTTTAATAAGTGTATATAAAGCATATCCACATTAATTACATGCAAAATGATCCTTTCACAGAACTATAAAACAAAATAAGTAACTCATTTTGAGAATAGTAATGGATGCTTATAATATATTAAATAAAAAAAAATTAAATACATGGCCATTAAGGCACTAAATTAAGTTAGACTATTTCCATTTTTTTAGGAAAGCCCTTTCACTTCTCTCATAGTAGCAGTCACATTGAGTAAGAAGACAACTGGGGTGCTGAGATAATCAGCTAGTGGCCTGGTTAAATAGGGCTTAGTAATGAGGAGTGTGTTTTTAATAAGAACTTAAAGAGCTTGCAGCGCAAAGGAACAAGCCAAATGATTGTGCACTACCACTCACATACAGTTATGCTCATATAGATTTACCTCCAAAACTGACACAAGAGCATCTCTTCTCTTCCCCAGGACTCTTAAAAAGTGGTTTAAGAAGGACTTCACTTGGTTTCTTCACTGGGCTCCGGCTTTGATGCTGCAGGTCACCTGATCAGTTTTACTAGAGCAGATCCTGATTCACCTTCAACACTATTAGGAAAACACCTTGCTGATGACAGTTCGATTGGATACGGGTCGCCCCTGCTGCTGCAGGCACCTTTTTTTCTTCACTATCTGAGGATTACATGCTGTAAATTTCAACTTTTTTTTACTTCTAAAAGCTAATCTGAACTCTCAATACCTCCAGTACCTGAACTGGGCTGGAAGATCCCAAGATGAGCGTCAAAAAAGAAGATGTGGAGAAGTTCCTGGATGGAAATCCAGATTTCACCAAAACCTACTTTGACAAGAAGCTCAAACCTGGTGCTGTGGCCTCAATCATGCGAGTGCCCGAGTCTAAAGTGGACATGGACAGTTTTAAGGAGATCGTCTCGGTGGAAGAGGGAGCAATTTTCTACGATCTCATCACAGACATGCAGGAGAACGTCAACATGGAGAAGGTGATTTTTAAGATTTTGAAGAGAATCAGCGCTCTGATTCATGCGGACCGCTGCAGTCTCTTCATGTATCGGCAGAGGAACGGCATTGCCGAATTGGCCACACGTCTCTTCAACGTTAATAAAGACTCAGAGCTGGATGATTGCGTGGTAGCTCCAGACTCTGAGATCGTCTTCCCTCTGGACATCGGGATAGTTGGACATGTGGCTCAGACCAAGAAACAAGTCAATGTGAAGGACGTTACACAGGTACACTCTCAGTTCACTTCAATTTAATTGAATTGGATTATTATACATTGTTAGACTGCAGGTATGGTCATATTTTGAAGCTCGAGGCAAATCCTCTTGACATAATCCATTTATTTCAATATGCCATGATGACCCATGAGCAACTTGGAGGATTATTTCACCTGTGGTATTTATACAGTGACCAAATCTCCTCTCAGTAGCTGAAACACACACACGTACACACACACTAACTATTGGGAAGATTGTCTAAGAATGTATTCATTTATTATCTTTTGATTATCATATCTTGAAAGTTTTGTCCACTTTTGTTATTTTCATAAAAAATAATGCTTTTGTAAAAATTAAAAGTCATTTATTTTCTTAACTTTATTTTACAGTATCATTGTTACACTATAAATTTACGCTTAAGGACTGAGTAATACTAATAAATTACATTTACCAGCTGTATGGTTACTAGCTGTTAGGATGATGGGTTAAGGGTTAATTCACTTTCATGCGATTATTATCATGCAAACTGTATTAAATAAAATGTTGCCAGAAAGTTTTCTTTCTATCATACGTAGTGCCTAAAATTAACACTCCCCTAGCTTCAGATGTAAATTGAAATCAGTGTTTTTTACTATTATCACTTGTTAACTCTAACAATGCTTAAAAATGTGATATGGTTTAATGTGATTATCAAATTGCAATATGTAATCTGAAAGCAGCACTGTGTGCTTTCTTTTAAGCCGCTCATGTTCACAGTGTTCTCAGTGTCTGGAACTGGTCACTGTCATTTCAGTGTCACTGGATCGGTTCACAGAAAATTGAGTTTGGTATACTTTTTAAACCCTAACTTGCATCAAACATCTTCACAAAATTTTTAAGAAGGTTGTTATGAAAACCGATGTTACATTCACCTCCTTTCTAAGGGTTCGGAGAGAAAAAACAAAACAAAATAATTAAGATAAATAAATAAAAATATTCAATTTAATTTGTTTGAATAAATAATAATAGATCAATGTTTATTGATGTACGTGGAGAGTCTCCTTTTTCTCCATCCCAGCATACTTTCACTCTACTTAAGATATAAGTAAAAAGAAAAATGTTGTCTTTTATTCACGGCTTAACAGAGGTAATTTTTTTTTTTTTTCCAGAAAGGGTAAACGAAAAAAAGAAATACTTAAATAAAAAACTTGCTTAGACAAAATTGTCAGGAGAGGGTAAGACCAAAATAACAAACAAAACAAAAGCTTCATAAATAGTTAATAAGTCCTAAATTTCCTAATACAAAAAAAAATAAATAAATCAATGACAATGCTCTTACCCAACTCCCTGACTAAACCCAAAACAGGAGAAAACTTAAAAGGGGATCAACCTTTTGGCACTTGTTTCCATACAAGGGTTATGTTAACTCTTTCACATAAAGTTACACGTCTTTCTTATTTACGCTACAATCTCACAATATCACAAATTCACGTTTTAGATAGCACACTATATCACTGGGATAGCGAAAACAGGGACTCTCTCCATGCTTTGCTGCTCTGCCTCTTAATAAAGCTTGTACACTTTATCAACAGAAACAGATCCGACTTGTTTTGAGTAGAAGCAGGTGCGACTGGTTTGGAGCGCTGCTCAATAAGATAGAGAGAGAGACAGAGAGAGAAAGATAAATAAAACAAAAGGGGAGAACAATAAACTGCCACTCACACCAACAACTTATTACCCAAATACATCACAGGACGTAACAAACAACAACTACCATATGTTGTAATAATTATGATAATGATTATAACATATATATATATATATATATATATATACATAGCCCTGAGAATGTGTTCTATCTCTGATTAAAATATTGTGAATAATTAACGTCATTAGAAAACAACTTTGAATCCAAGTGAAATAGTTATTTCCTGACCCATACATTTGACCTAATTAAAGACAAGTATAAATACTTTTTTAGTAAGCGTTTATAATAGTTAAATGCACAACATTGTTTGTAAAATGTATAACAAGGCTGACTTTGTTTTCGCTGTAGGACAGTCACTTCAGCACATTCGTTGATGAGCTTACTGAATACACCACACACAACCTCCTGGCTGCGCCTATTATGAATGGAAAAGATGTAGTAGCTGTGATCATGGCTGTCAACAAGACCACCGGACCCCATTTCACAGATGAGGATATGGATGTAAGTGTGTATTGGTGTTAAACAGCTTGGAATAATATAATTATACAATTATTATTTTTTGTATTATTATGTTTTATCTATATTATGTATATTATTATGTATATTTTTATGTATATTATGTATGGATGATAATATAGTTATTGTTCTTGGCAGGGTTATTGTTACAATTACAAAAAACTAAAAACAGAACACTAATTTTGTTATTTGAAATCAAATAAATATCCATCGTAAAAGTAGAAAGTTGATTTTATTTGATCTAATTAATTGTCAAGAAATAAATATAATTTTCTTTGCATTAAGTTCATCTATACTTATAAGTATTTATGGATTTATGTTTTTAAAATACATTCAATAAGAATGGTAAATCATACTTGGCATTTAGATGCCGTTTCCTCTAATGCGTTTTGTAAAGTTTTGTTTCGGTGTTCACACTCCGATTGAAAACACACTTTGTTTTGAAAACACAGAATACCCCAATTTAGTGTGGAAAGTTTGTATGAAGACAAACTAAAACATAAGGTTTCAGACATAGTCCCTTCAGTCCACAATCACTCTCTGACTGGACAAGCTCCCTGATTCGTCAACCCCTTCTCATATTAACATTATTAACCGGTATAAGTACAGATGACGGCAAAATATGCACATGCTCAATGTGTGTGAGTGGTCATGTATCATGTGTTTTGCAATGTATAATGTGCAGAGAGATCATTTTTCTGATTATTGTCAATATGGACAAGGATAGTTTTCATTCTTTCTCTCATGACAACTCTCAGAGTTTTAGTATGGTAGTAAATATGTACAGTTGAAGTCAGAATTATTAGCCCCGTGTTTATTTCAACACATTTCTAAACATAATATTTTTAATAACTCATTTCTAATAACTGATTTTTTTTAATCTTTCCCATGATGAGAGTAAATAATATTTTACTAAATATTTTTCAAGACACTTCTATACAGCTTAAAGTGACATTTAATGGCTTAACTAGTTTAATTAGGTTAACTAGGCAGGTTAGGGTAAGTAAACAAGTTATTGTATAACAATGGTTTGTTCTATTGACTATCGAAAAAATATATAGCTTACAGGGGGTAATAATATTGACCTTAAAATGTTAATTTTTAAAAAATGCAAAAAAAATCTTAATAAATAAATATTCCAAAAAATATTTTTTTTATTAAAAAAAATAAAGCTGCTTTTATTTTAGCCAAAATAAAACAATTAAGACTTTCTGCAGAAGAAAAAATATTATTAGACATACTGTAAAAATATCCTTGATCTGTTAAACATAATTTGGGAAATATTTAAAAAAGAAAAAATAATTCAAAGTGGGGCTAATAATTCTGACTTCAACTGTATATGGTAATATTGATGTGTTTGGCCTTTAAGGAGTATTTCTGCTATGCTGCTGCTGCTACTTTGATTATTATGGCAGAGCAAGTACAGAGACTTGCTACTGCAGTGCATATTCACAGACAGTCAAACACACAGCTGCTGCAAACATAATATCCATGTAACCCCCGTAGCAGATCTACACACAGGTGGAGCTAGGGTGGAGGTGGGTCTCGCAGTGCATAATCCAACACTGAGGCATTTAAAAATTTGAGGAGTAAGCTCATTGGCTGCTAACAGCAACCAATCACCTGTGCCATATAGTTGATGTAGGAGCAGATTAGGCATGACCTATCAGCCTGCTCGTGCATGGGGTTTCATGACAGAACTTGAATAAATGTTATTTTAAAGCAAAAACATACGAGTGTAAGCACAGCCTTAGTAAGATCATGCCATTTCCTTGCATTTTTCAAACTATGTTCTTCTTTCTCCAAGCTTTTTTTAAAGTATCTCAAAGTTGGCTCTCTGAACCTGAAGATTTTTCATCTGAGCTACCTTCACAACTGTGAGACGCGTAAAGGACAGGTGAGTCTGCTGGTGCAAGTGCTACAAATAAATGGAAAAAGAAATGCTTTTTAATGCATTTTTCATATGTCTCTTGCATAGCTGCTGTTGTGGTCGGCTAACAAGGTGTTTGAAGAGCTCACAGATATTGAACGACAGTTTCACAAAGCTTTGTACACAGTGCGAGCTTACCTCAACTGTGACAGGTACTCTGTGGGCCTGCTGGACATGACCAAGGAAAAGGTACGTCAATCACTATAATTGCCTAGAGGAAGCCAGACTTCATGCTTAATTTAGTGGCTTCAGTCTGTCCTGTCTCTCTCCTAAAGACTGACCCAGTGGTTGTGTTCGCTTGCAGGAGTTCTTTGATATTTGGCCCGTGCTGATGGGGGAGCAGCCACCTTACTCTGGCCCTGTAACTCCAGACGGAAGAGTAAGCAGCGTTTTTCACTTTTCAAACTGAAGGCATAGTTCAGATGACATGCATTTCCTTCATTTAGTCATTGACTCTTGTCATTTTGTGCTTCTGGGTTCCCCCAAATGAAAATAACCAAAAATGTCACCCTCAATAGTTGCAATTTAATTAGGACAATGTCTGCTTCAGAGTACTCATCAAAATAAATGTTTGAGAAGACCAACTAAATTAAAGTAGGCAGGGTTTGCAGTTTACATAAACAAAGCACAAATTCCAGCATAAAGCATAATTCACATTTTAATAGAGTGAGGTAAAACTGCCATATCAAAACATTTAGTACATGGCACATGTTTTATGATAGAAATGTTAAATGGGCGACTGTAAGGTCCGGTAATGCAAAACTAAATGTATTGTTTATTTAATCAATTTAAGTCCTTACTGGAAAAGATGAAAGAAATTAGAGATATTGGCATACAAATGAATGAAGAGTGAGTAAAGAAATATTTGTTGATATGAGTTTAGATGCAAAGGATTTATTCTTTGCCATGAAACTGATATTACTGAAGATACACATAGGAGCCTGATAAAAAAATACTCATTTTAGAGGAAACTTTCAGACGGCATTTAGAGGTTTTTGCATCAAACCTCTTCAATTTAAAATTTGCAAATACACTTTAAAAATAAATTTGTTAATTACAGTTACATACTTTGTGATTCACAGCTGATTTCTGTTAGCCTATTTTAATGCGAATTGCATCTTGATCTCTGCTCTTACCATCTTTGATTTGGAAAATGAACTCACAAATTTTCACAAAGTGATTTAGTTGACATTTTTGTACTTTGTATAAATATATAAAAAGAAATCTGTAAAGTAACAGAAAAGTTCTTACAGCTTATTACCTGGTTTTCTACTATTAGTACTACTAATTCCAGGACATTCTTTGTAACATTAAATTTATTTTTATGAATACTTTTTTTGCATCACATAAATCAAAGGGCAACAAATGAGTAAATGATGACAATTTAATTCATTATTTTTTGAATGAATTGTCCCTTTATGATTTTATATTTTTGTCAATTTTTTTCACTCAGGAAATAATTTTTTACAAAGTTATCGATTATATTTTGCATGGGAAAGAGGACATCAAGGTCATACCGTAAGTTTATCTTTTTTTCTAGTAATTTTCTTCTAACATACTTTATCTAGAATGTGCATTATAAAAACACTGTTTTTACCTTTTTCCCCACAGAAATCCAACTGCAGATCATTGGGCTTTGGCTAGTGGATTACCCACATATGTAGCAGAGAGTGGATTTGTAAGTGATTTCTTTTTTCGACTTGGTGCAAAGTATGATGGACTTTTAAAACGTTGAATGTGTATTTATGCATTTATTGACTGTTTTTTATTGTTTGTTGAAGATTTGCAACATCATGAATGCAGCATCAGAAGAAATGTTCAAGTTTCAGGTATTGATTTTTGCTATTTTGCTATTTCATGACTCGAGAGTAGTAACACTTTGTGCTTGTGTAGACAGAGGCTCTGGATGATAGTGGATGGACCATCAAGAATGTGCTCTCCTTGCCAATTGTCAACAAAAAAGAAGAAATTGTTGGCGTTGCAACTTTCTACAACAGGAAGGATGGCAAACCATTTGATGAACATGATGAGCAACTTATGGAGGTCAAATTAGTTTCTATGAAGTATCATTTTTCCAATAGTGTTTTTAATATATATATATATATATATATATATATATATATATATATATATATATATATATATATATATATATATATATATATATATATATATAATTATACAATTATGAGGAGATTCCCAACATTACACTTTTACTTGAAGCAAAGAAATATTTGAAAATCCCACAAAAAGTTACAAAACCATGTACAGTTTAACAACATCTCTTGAAACATTGCGATTGACACAATAAAATTAATATAGATATAAAACTCATCTAAAGTTGTTTGTTTTATCTATACAAAATTATTTATTACAAGCTTACTGCTCAATACTGATATGTAATCTCATGTACCATATAGAATTATTTAAAGTGTCTAGGGAAACACATGAAGTTTGATTAAGGTGTTTACATTCAGAGAGTAGCAATTACAGCGAATCGTTATACTGTAACTGTTATACTGTGCCATAATACTGTAGTGATAATAACGTACTGTAAACTTTTTGACCCTGTAATCATTTTGACTAATGTATGTCTTTAAAAACTAAGAGTACTGCTGACAATACTAACTTATACATCTGAACAAGCATAAACAAATAACACTGATCACACACTTATTAAATTCGTAGAGACAGGACAATCAACACAAACTGGAACCGCATTCCAGGGGAGGAATTGAAAATCCAGATTTCACCATTTCCAGATGTAAAAAAAAAGCTCTTGGGTAAAAATTGTTTGTTTTGTCCCGTGTTAGCAGACCAATCCGCAGTTAAATGTGGGCCCAAACGCACCAGTAAATGGAAACAATAGCCCCTTTCACAGATACAGACCTTTCCGGAAAATTGCCGGCAATTTTCCGGAAAGGTTGTATGTGTGAACAGGTCCATTTTGAAAATAACGGTAAATTCGTTCTGGCTATTTTCCGGAAAGAGAAGTTGTAACAGTTGTAACTTGCCGGAATGCTGCGCTGTGTGAATTCAGAAGGAAGATTGCCGTAATAAGCGCGTGCACGTCTAGAACGTGCTGACGTTAGACGTCTGATTTAGCCAATCACAACAGTCAGACGCATTTACGTCTGCGCGGTTTGTGAGAATAAAAGCCTTTGAATATTTCTCCAGACACATTTAGCTGCTAGAAGTTAGTCAGATCACGTTTATATGTTCTTCTTAATGCCAACTTTGTAAATAATCATCGATGAGATGCTTATGATAAGCCGTTGTTTGTTTACCTTCAAGCTTTGCGTGTGCCTGTGAAACAGCCTGTGAGTGCCTGCACACGCACATATTATGAACATCTCGACATGAGAAAGTGATCCTGCGAAAGTTGTTAACAATATTGATCATCCAGAGAGTTTGTAATTTAGTCAAATGTTTACTAATACAAGCGCAGCTGTTTAAAGCTCATTTGTGGTGAATGATGTCAGAATTTACCGGTATTTTGGAATGGATGTGTGAATGCTCTTTTCCGGAAAATTTCCGTAACGTCCTCGCCTGTGTGAACAGCGCTTTTTTTAAAATACCGGTAAAGTCGTTCCGGAAATTTTCCAGATATTTACCGGTATCACTGTGTGAAAAGGGCTATTACCTTTGTTGTGGCACATTTATAAACACAACACTGACAACCCATGTCTCCGAACAATTCTTCTTCCACTTGTTTTAATTACGGTTGGCCACACAACATGGTGTCTCTCTGTCATCTAAAACCTGTAACAGGTGTCATGCATATTAATGAAGTTGCACCTCATACACACTAGAGCGCGCTGATTGGTTCAAAACAAAGTTTTTCTCATGAATTATTGCTAAAAACTTAAAGGGCCCTATCATACACCCGGCGCAGTGTGGCGCAAGACGCGGCGCAATAGTCTTTTGGTAGTTTCAGCTTGGCGCAAGAGTCGTTTTGAGGCGTTGCGCTACGCTGTTTAAATAGCAAATGCATTAGCGCTCATTTGTGCGCCCATAGGCGTTCTGGTCTAAAAAGGAAGGCGTTCTGAGGCGGACTGCTGGCGCGTGGCTATTTTGAGAAAATATAATAGATTTTTCATTAGACCAAAACTAACCCAGTCTAAACTCTGGCGCAGAGTTGCGCCTTGTTTACGCACTGCTTAATACGCACAAGAGAGCAATAGGCAAATATCTTTACATATGAAAAAATTAAATATTATGGATATATATATAAGATATAATAAGGATATATATAGGATATAAATATAAAGGATTAAAATATTACAAAACATATTAGCCTACATAAATATAAAAAATCACTGCTTTTATGCCTTCATCTCGGGAGGCTTTTTCAGTTCATTCATAACAATTTGCTTTTTGGATAATGTTATTATTATTAGCAGTATTATTTGATATATCCATATTTATATTTGTTTTATTAAAAACAAGCTTAGATTTCCCCACCTGTCAGGTTTTAGACCATATGGGGCATGGCAGGTGTATTTGTAAATAACTCAGTATTTTGACCACACTTGGTCATTATCGTTCATTTATTCGTTTGCTAGAAATTAGAACTGAATTTAGAAATAGTTTAGAAACAAATCTTTGCGCTTAACAAACGAAATTAATTATTTATAGGCTAACAGATGTCTGTGCATAAAGGTTTCCCTATCCAAGAGCGAATGTGAAAGTAGTTCCATTATCTCTCATTCTCACGCAGTAGATGCTCTGTTTAACAGTTTTCTGTTAAAAAACTGTTAACTGTTTGCTTGTGAAATGCTCATTTTTTCCACTTAGACTTACTTTGCGTCCAGTAAATAGCGAATGCGCTCTTGGCGCGACGCAGCTGGGTCTTAAAGGGAATGGGAGATGAGACTCTAATTGGTTTATTCTCGAAACACACCTATAACTCATTAAGAAAATAAACTCAACCCTTTTAGCCCATGCGCCTTGGCGCAAATCGCATTTTCCCGTCCGTAAATTACCAAAAATGTGTTCTGACACGCCCTGAAAGCGTTTGCGCCCTGCGTTTTGCGCTCTGCGCATGGACCGTCAAAATGGAGCCAGAAGACATCACATAGTACTGTAATGTAGTTTTTTTTGCACAAATGTAGTTGAATTAATTCAAACATAAAGATTTGAAAACAGTATATGCAGTAGATGAACAAATTCTATCTGTCTATCTGAACAAGTCTATCTGTCAATATCCCTATGGAGAAAATGAATGCTGTTTTTCTTCTGGAACTCAAATGTTGGACTCTATATATTTATATAATCACAGAGATGGATTGCCTCTGTCTTGTTGGCTCATGAAGCACTGTGCTATTGTCTTGACAGGCTTTGACACAGTTTTTAGGCTGGTCGGCTCTCAACACAGACACCTACGACAAAATGAATAAACTGGAGAACAGGAAAGATATTGCCCAGGACATGGTGCTGTACCATGTCAAATGTCGAGATGATGAGATCCAAGATATCCTCGTATGTTCCAAGCGACTTATTTTGTCTCATTTGATTTTGAACTTGTATTTTACTTGTACTGATTATAGTTTTGTTTGTTATTACCTTTGTAGAAAACAAGAGAATATTTTGACAGGGAGCCAAGGGACTGCGAGGAGGAGGAGCTTTTGGAGATTCTGGTACACTGATCTGTTTACTGTTTTTATTGTTTTAATAATTAAAGATCTTTAAAAAATTGTAATCAGGTTAATTTTATACACTTTATATTTTGATGAGATAAAGAAACTTTTCCTTAATGGGAAGCAACATAGCCATATGCTAATTACATATATAGTTGTGCTGTTTCAACTATACTATAAATAAATATACATAAATATTTTTTATGTGGCTGCTTCAATGGGCTGCTTAAAGTAAACTGTCCACCATTTTGTAAGTCAAAGCTGGTCCATGAACTCTGTACGCAATTCAATTCGGCTGCTAAAAGTAAACTGTCCACCTTTTTGTAACAGTCAAAGCTGGTACCTGAACATCGTATGCAATTCAAATGATTCAGCATAGTGCCAATACTTTACTTATTAAGGGTGATACATTGTCTGACTTTATTTTCGCTTTTTCATACAGAAAAAAGAGCTGCCCGGCCCCAAGAAGTTTGAGATCTACGCTTTCCATTTTTCAGATTTTGACTGCACTGAACTCCAGCTTGTTATGTGTGGCATCCAGATGTACTATGAAGTTGGAGTGGTTAAAAAGTTCCAGGTCCCTCAGGAGGTCCGTTTTCTCATTTATAAAAATAAAGATAAATGATTTTGTGATGAAATTTCATGTTAACTAGCTGTTGTTTTTTTGTAAATAAAGGTTTTGGTGAGATTCATGTACTCTGTCAGCAAAGGTTACAGGAGAATCACGTATCACAACTGGCGCCATGGCTTCAATGTTGGACAAACCATGTTCACTTTACTCACGGTAGGACCTGGCTTGTTTTTATGTTTGGAAGATATTTTTATGTTATGTTTTATTTTAAACCATGATTTTGGTGATGCTGTGTTGTATGAGCACTTTTTGTGTTCCAAACTAAATGCGTGTTACATAGATGTGCAGGAAAATGCTTAAAAGTCAGACAACAAGATTTTATTTCTATAGGAAATATTTAATATATCAAGCAGGCAGCAGAATAGTGGTAAAATGTTGGTGTAGTTCTAGTTAATACTATTTAATTTATTGAGTTCAGTTCAACAATTGCAAAAAAATGTTTTTTACTGTTTTTGAACAGGTTTCCCCACACAAACTCGTTCAATTGGTTGATTTAATGTTGATATGCCCCACCTAGTTTGGCTGCTCAACAGATTTTTACATTTTTGCAATTACACACTTTTGACAAACAAATGTCATTAAATCATAATTTTTGTTTGTTTTTATTGAGCCAGACAGGCAAACTGAAGCAGTATTACACGGATTTGGAGGTGATGGCCATGATCACTGCCGGTTTCTTGCACGATATCGACCACAGAGGCACAAATAACCTCTACCAAGTGAAGTCAGTAAACTGCTATAGGTCCTGGTATACTTCAAACGAAATTGAAAAATGAATTGAAAAGACTTATTTTCTAACAAATCTGTCCAAAATTAAGTTTGTTTTGAGTTCATTTCAAAAGTTTAAATCCGCTAATTAAAACAGACTTTCGTTGTTTATTTGACTCATTGAACACCTTTGAGCTACCATTGGTCTTTGGCGATTATGCAATTGGTGGGACTCCACCTTCTTTCCCGATTTGTTTATTAATTGTGGTCTGACAGGGGACAAAACAACTACAACTACTACATCTAAAACAACTATATTTGGACAAAAAGCCCACCTTGTCATGCCATGTCTTTTCTATGAGTTTGTGCATACCAGCCATTCAGTGTCTGACTGCAGAAAAAAGAAAACAATGTAAAAAAATATGTGATTTTCAACAGTCACGCTTCACATGGAGAAGGCTGTTTGACAGATGTTTATACAATTGTTGTTCTCTCTTTTTTGCCACAATTGTTGCGTTTAGTGTTACATGCTAGCAGCGTAACACATTTACAACCCCACCTACTGCAGAATTGGAGTGTTTGAGTGTTATAAAAACAGTATTTAGCATTTAGACATATCTGTTTGCCGTCAAATAAAAATAAAAAAAAACTTTGAAGTATACCAGGGCCTTATTGCTACATTTATACTACCATTTTTACTAGTAGTCCTTGTACTGATTATAATTATCATCACATTCGTATGTTTTACGATCAGATCCCAAAATCCTCTAGCCAAGCTGCATGGATCCTCCATTCTAGAAAGGCATCACTTGGAATTTGGCAAATTCCTGTTAGGCGAAGAGGTATGAGCCAGATGCCCAATAAAATAAGCAGCTGCTTATTAGATTTGATACTAACATTTGCTTTATTTTCTGTTAGTCGTTGAACATTTTCCAGAACCTCAACAGAAGACAAACAGAACATGTCTTCCACCTCATTGATATTGCCATTATTGCAACTGACCTTGCCTTGTACTTCAAGTAAGTTCTAACAATATGTAACAATTAATTGTTTTAAGTTTTTAATGCACTGCCTGGCAGGGGTGTCGCCAACAATTTTGGACCCTATGCCCAAATATTTGAAGTGGGCCTGTAAGTGAAAAGCAGGATTGGTGGGGTATTTGGTCGCAAGGAAAATTGTCCATCTAGTCATCCTCTGCCCGTTGCTGGGCCCCTAAATTGCAAGGGCACTCTGTTCCCATTTCCCCCCGCTAGTGACGCCCTTGCTGCCTGCACAAATATCTATAAAGATATCTATAAATACAATATCTATAAAGAGTCTCTGATTGGATCTTCATTTGGAGTGGATAATGTTTTTGGCAACATGCAGCAATTGTGTAGCTTTTTATGTACTCAGCCCAACTTTTTCTCTGCCTAAAAAGAAAGAGGACGATGTTTCAGAAGATTGTGGATCTCTCTGAAACCTATGAAGAAAGAAAGAAATGGATAGACTTCATGTCACTGGAGACAACAAGGAAAGAAATTGTAATGTATGTGTTTCCTTTAAAATCTACATTAAGCATTTTAAGATGATTAATTTTTGGAAAATATACATTTGATGGTTTTTTATGTTACCAGGGCCATGATGATGACAGCGTGTGATCTCTCAGCTATCACAAAGCCATGGGAGGTGCAGAGCAAGGTAAAAGAAGTAAACTGGGGAAGAGACAATGCTTCTGCTTCTTTGTAATAAACAAAGTGTCAATTCATCCATCCTAGGTTGCCCTCTCTGTAGCAGCTGAATTCTGGGAGCAGGGTGACCTTGAGAGGACCGTTCTTGAGCAACAGCCTATTGTGAGTATCTGTTTTCATGCAAAACTTGTGATGAGCTCCTTACGTAGTAGCAAAGTCCCTTTAAGGCGAGTAATTTACTCAGCGGCCAACTTTGAAACACCTCTCGGGCAATATGCTCGGGCATTCTGTTTGAATGGAGAAACATCAAATTCTCCACAACTGCTTTCCAAGCTTACATTTACATTAAATATTAAGAATCACCAATAAAATTAAACAACTGTCACTTTAGTTTCATTTCTAAACATAAAAATTACACTAAATCAGAGTATTGTCAGTCGATAGCGATCAATGATTGGCTCCTGTACTACTAGGCGGGGCTTTAATCACCATATTGACAGTTACACTTTTCCCCATTCAAAAAGATATGAGTAACATGTCTTGGGTGTTCTATAGTTTTGGTAGTAGTCAGTGAAAGAACTGTCTTAGAAACATTTAGGAAGACTGAATAATCTGACAATCTATCTTTTTCCAGCCCATGATGGACAGAAACAAAGCTGCAGAGCTGCCGAAGCTTCAGTGTGGTTTTATTGACTTCGTCTGTACTTTCGTCTATAAGGTACATCTTTATGATCACTTTTTGTACATTTTTTAGTTGATGTTTTGGCCAATAAGATTAGTTAGCAACCATCCTCTCCTTGTGTATCACAGGAGTTCTCCCGTTTCCATCCTGAAATCAAGCCAATGTTTGATGGTATTCTAAACAATCGGATGCATTGGAAAGAGAGGCAGGAGGAATATGAGGCAAAACTAAAGGCAATGGAAGAGGCAGTCAAAGCCAGACAGGAAGCAGCTGCCAAAAACGGTTTGAACAACATGTCAAGACTATTGAATATTCACTGCATCTGCACTAGACTTGATATAAGACACACAGAAAAGACCTACAACGTAGTAATTTTGTTGATCAATCATGGTCTGTGTCATTGTGTCACCTAGCAGTGGCACCATACAATTGTTACTTTATTGCAGGGGTGTTCAAATTTGGTCCTGGAGGGCTGGTGTCATGCAGATTTTAGCTTTAACTTTCCTCAACACACCTGCCTGGATGTTTCTAGAAAGCCTAGTAAGAGCTTGATTAGCTAGCCCAGGTTTATTTGATTGGGTTGAAACTAAACTTTGCAGAACACCGGCCTTCCAGGACCAAGTTTGGACACCCCTGCAATCAGCTATCAAGATGTTGAGTATTGAAATCTCTTTTGAATCATTTTTGATTGTGTACTATGTAATATTTAACAATGATGCTTAAGATGCTCTCCAAATCCTCCACTGATTTTTCAGTCATCTGTATTTAAAGGTATAGTTCACCCAAAATGAAAATTGTCATCATTTTCTAACCCTTGACTTGTTTCAAAACAGTTTTTCGTTCTGTTGAACACAGAAGACAATATATTGAAGAATGCTGGAAACCAGTAATCACTGACTTCCATAGTAGGAAAGCAAATATCAAATCAAATTAAAATCACTTTTATTGTCACATCATCAGCAGCACGTGTGCTATGATGAGTGAAAAGCTTAGGTGCTGGCTCCAGACAGTGCAAATACAACGACAGTGCAAAATACAACAGCCCCAAAAAAAAAAAACAGAACAAAGTTTTATTGACAGCGATATGTACAATCAATAGGTGTACACATAGTTGTAGGATGTATTGTTTTATTTATGGATTGGTTAAAGTGCAGTGCATGCTACATATTTATGGTGTGCAGTGAGGGGTATGGAAGAGTCTGTGTGAGGTGTGTTACGTGATCATCAGCTTGATAGTCTGAGGGCAGAAACTTTTCTTTAGTCTGCAGAAGCTTTCCTTCAGTCGGAAATTATTATGGAAGTGATTGGCTACCAGTTACCAACATTATTCAGTATAGCTTCTTTTTTTTTGTTCAACAGAAAAAGAAACTTAAAGGGGTCGCACACCGGATTTGCACTCAGCAACTCACACAGCATTTTACAATTCTAGGCATAGATTTTTTTTTTATCAGGGTATGCACACCAGTGCCGCTTAGCTATGATTCAGGACACTGTTCATACTTCTGTCGCACCACAGAGCACCATCTGCATAGTTTTATATTAAAGGGATATGAAACCCTCTTGTTTTAGAGGGTGTTCTCACACCTCTAGTTTGAAAAAAAGTCAGGAAAGTGGGTGGGTCCAGCTTTGTTTAGGTTGGAGTGTCTACTGTTGTGGCGAAAGAGAAAAGGGTTTGCATGAAAAGTGGAGTTTCACACGCTGAATTTCACAAAGGCAAAACAAACCTAGACGCAGGAGAGAAAGGCAGTGACTTTGTTTACATTGATCACTTACCAAATCTGTAGTCAGGACAATCAACACGAACTGGAACTGATCCTTTTTTTTTAAAGGAGATGAGCAGCAAATCTGGATTTTACCATTTCCAGATCTAAAAAGCTCTTGGCTAAAGAATGTTTCTTACAAACATATTTTTGTTGCGTGTTAGCAGACCACAGTAATCCACAAATTTGGGTTCACACACGAGATGTGCTCTCATCATGGGAAAATGGAAACAAAACCTTCGTTGTGGCAGATTTATTAACCCAACACTGATGACCCATGTCTCCAAACAATTCTTCTTCTTCCACTTGTTTTAATTATGGTTGGCAAAACAGCATGGTGTCTCTCTGCCATCTGAACACTGTAACAGGTAAACACAGTCTTCGAAGCTATATAATGCATATTAATGTAGTTGCACATGAATTAATACTGAAAACTCAAAGACGTCACATTGTACCAGCCGGTACAGACATCCAGTCTCCATGCTGGAATTTACACAAGGATCTTATGGCCGTGACGCAGCTTCAAAATTTCTTTTCAAACCGCAAACAACCAATTCTCACTTTTTAGTGAAATACATGTGTCCTAATAGTGATTTTAGCAATGTGGGATACATATATGATTGTCAACATCTCAAAAAATGCGTTTTGGTGTTTTGTGACCCTTTAAATAACATTGAAATGTGCTCGTCCACGGTGTGTTACTTCCAACTGATATAGGCGCTGCACGGCGCTGAGTGGCGCATCTAATGTGCAACCCCTTTTAGACTGGTTTATAAGAAGTCTAAGGTAAGTAATTGATGACAGGATTTTCATGTTTGGGTAAACTATTAATTTAATCTCATCAAATGATAAGTGAAATCTGACTTCTACTGAGTCAAGTGCAAAGAGAGTCTAAAACCGTAAAAGCTGGTCCACTTTTAACCACTTCCAGAGTTGGTCGAACTTTGATCTGATGGCTTTTGTAGTGCAAGCATGACAAATTTAGAACAAAGTCTCTCAACGAAATCTAGGGTAGGAAAAGAGACACATTTGAATGCATGTAAATACCTTGTGATCAGACAGAAAACACATTTTAATACTAGGTGGAAACAGAACCATAAAATCCACACCTTTCTACTGCACTGCAAAAAAGTTTTGTTACTTAGTTTTGTTTTCTAGTCCAAATATCAAAACATTCTTAAATCAAAAAGCATTTTCTAGACAACCAAAAATTTGTTTGTCAGAAATAAATCAAAATTAAGTGTTTAATTTAGACACAATATAGTATTTCTAGATACAGGACAACACTCTTACCCAAAAACAATGTTCATATGTTATTGGCGGTGTAAGATATAACCCATTTCTCAGATTTGGATTCTTTCTGTTTGAATTTTTTTCCATACAGCTGCAAATTCCAACAGCACCGGCGGATCAGGGTCCAAGACCTGCTCTATCTGTTAGAGAAAAGACAACAGTACAGAGAGCAAGGCATCTCAAGATGCAGCCTGGCCTCCTAAGTATTAAGTCAAACAGGGGGAGATCATCCTTATCCCTAGGATTTGCAAGGATCTGATCAAAGAGTGAGTGTAAAAAAACATATCAATGCTCTCAGCAAGTCACAAGACCACCTACTTACTAAAACATTGTTGGATCTTGCCTTGCAGTTAGTATTACTCTTCAATTGTCTTTCCTTTTGGTCATAGTGTTTGTTTTAAGCAGTTTCATTGAGCGATAGACGGTTTCAATAATGACGATGCATTTTAAATGTACTACAGAAGTGAATGTTTTTCATTTAGTCCCTTACTGGACATTGCCTGATACTTGATATCAACCAGGTCCACAACAAGTTGATGTACAATCATGTGCAGAATGTTATTGTAATTTAAGGAACTTGTGGTAATAAGAAACGGGAATAATTGTGCATTTAGCGTCACCCTTAACTTACATATTTATTCCCTCTAAAAGTGATCACATCATACTGCTGGGATGCTAATGAGCTTTTGTAGGCGCATTAATGTGCAACTGGATATATACTAATGAGCCAAAACAATATGACTGAGTAGATTAGATGTAACCAAACAATCACAATCTTGTAAATCATTGTGTTGGATACAGTAGAGATGGGTAGGAAAAAAAGACCTGAGTAAATTTGACGAGGCTCAAAAAGTGATTGGTATCTGGGTCTCTGAAACGGCAAGATTTGTAGGTTGCTTTTAGTCAGCGTTAAGTGAAAATTTACTAAAAAATGTCAGAGGAAAGACAACACTAAAATTAGCAACAGGATGTTGGGCAGCTAAGCTCATCAATGACAACAAACAATATCCTGTATGGTCCAAGCCAACAAAAGGTCTACTGTGCCACAAGTTGGAGTAGCATGGTGGCACAGTGGGTAGTTCTGTCGCCTCAGCAAGAAGGTCACTAATTCGATTCACGGCTGGGCCAGTTGGCATTTCTGTGTGGAGTTTTTGCATGTTCTCCCCATGTTCACATGGGTTTCCTCCGGGAGCTCCGGTTTCCCCCACAGTCCAAACACATGCGCTACAGCTGAATTGGGTAAGCTAAATTGTCCGTAGTGGTTGAGTGTATGTCCTAGTCCTCCAGGTTGGGGTTGAGCTTTGGGCTAATGACCCACCTTATAAAATATTAGATGTTACGAAACACCAACATGGTGCAGCTAAATATAAACTTTGATTTAAACGGCCCTGGGAGTGAGTAAGGAAGTGACACAAGTTACACAAAATGTAATAGTTGTTAAAGCAGGAGTGTGTCACAACACAAAATGTAATTCAGCTGCTCTGTCCACTCATGAAAGCACCTAACATAAATATATGAGTGTCGGAACTGGAATTGGAGAAGTTTTGGAGAAGCTTGCTTGACCAATTAAGCTCTCTGCACTTTAAGGTTGGCTATCTAGATGTACACTATTTACTTGGGGGAGTGATAGGATGTAAATTTGATATGCTACCTAAATAAATATTGTTGCAGACTGGGTATATCTATTGATGTCAATGGCATCCTTTTTGAAAGTGGCCTCTTTCAGCAGGTTAATATACCCTGTCACATTTTACACATTGTCCATGAATGGTTTGAAGAACATAAAGAGATCAATGTGTTGCTTTGGCCTCCAAATTCCCGAAATCTCAAACCAACTGAGCATCTGTGGGATGTGCTGGACCTACAAGTGCAAGCCACAATGCTTCCACATTAAAACCTACAAGAACTGAAGGACCTCTGTGGGTCTTGTAGCCATGCCTCAGCATGATGGTGCTTACTAGGCAGGTGGTCATACTGTTTTGGCTCATCTGTGTAGATGTATAAAACTAGCTCTAAAGTATTTTTTCATGTCTTCACTTAAGCTGACAGGTAATGTGCGCTATTGTCCTTCAGACTTATTTACTACATCAAGTGCTGTCATGGGTGTGTTTTACTGAGCGGTGTCCCATTTCTCAGTGTCTCTGCTGTTGGGACATGCGTTCACAGAGAAAACTAATTCCAGTGGCCTTGATACTATTCATCTGTCCAGTTCTCAGCCGACCTGTCATCGCAGTCTCTGTTTAAATCCATTATGTTTTTCAGATTTGGGCTTTTGTTTTGTCTTATGTCGGACTTTTATAGGATTCAACTGATTGTCTGTAAAGCATCTTAAAAAGATCTAATTATGTAAATATACTTAAATGATACATTTTACTAGTTTAAAGTGAAACACTATTAAGGTGTTTTCTAGTGCACATAATGAATTCTACATGCTTATTATATAAAGCTGCTGCTTGTGTTTCACAAATTAAAGTAGTGAAGGATCAGACTGTAGCAAGAAAATGTTGAAATCATCATGTCAGATCTGACAGCAAGGGCCTAGAAATAAAACTTGTTTTGACAAAAATGTGATTTACTTGCAGAGCAAGTTTAATCATTTGGCAAGAATTTGATTATTTATTTGATCATCAAATATGACTACGTCAAACCATCAAAAATACCTCAAATTGGGTGATTCCAATTTAATTGGTAAAAAATGTAAAGCTTCACTTTGTATGCTCAATACCATGACAATTAAAGCATTTATTTTGTATGAAGTTTGTGGGGTTTTGTTGTTGTTATTTACTGTACATGATAGTACTTTGACTATTAAACCAAATGCTGTTCCAATTTTTTATTAATTAAATAAGCAATATGCAATTTTCACAATAATACTCAGAAACACGTTGGCTCAGTGGCTATCACTGTGGCCTCCCAGCAAGAAAGTCTGTGTGGATTTAGAATGTTCTCCCCATGTTGGCGTAGGTTTCCTCCGGTTTCTTACAGTCCAAACACATGCGCTATAGGTGAACTGATGAACTAAATTGGCCGTAGTGTATGAATATGTGTGTGAATAAGTATGTATGGATGTTTCCCAATACTGGATTGCAGCTGGAAGGGCATCCGCTGTGTAAAACATTTGCTGGATAAGTTGGTGGATCATTTAATTTGGTGGACCCCTGATAAATAAAAGGGACTAAGCTGTAGAAAAAATAAATGAAGGAATGAATGAAGAAAGTATAGTTGGGCACTAAATAAACTTATCAGAATTATTTGTGAAGAATCGCACAGATGCTGGAAGTTCACCTTTGGCATCATAAAAAGAAATGACATTTTAAAAATAATTAAGGAATCTAGCTATTTAAAATATTAAGTATATATTTAAACATTACTGTATTTTGATCTTGATGAGCTTAACGTTTAAAGACAATCCATTTCCAACCACAAAACTTTAAGTGGTAGTAAATAAAAGCTCACAATAGTAATACGAGACTCTTTAAAACTACAAAGGATTTGATTCTCTTCACACATCTGCTCAATGACTCACTCAATAAGCCTCTTATCCCATGGGAACTATCAGCAGTTTCCACCCTTCCCTTCCTAGATGACATCCACAAAGGTTATCGGAAAAGCTACACAATCAATTTCCCTATAAGTCCAGTAATGATAAATGAATGGAGGGAGGTGAGTGAATAATTGAACATTAACATTTGTGGGTGATCTATCACTATTTGTCCTGCTTGTTTATTTAGTGAAGTGTAGCACCTCATTTAAGCAGCGGTAAAGCATTTGTGCAAAATCATCACCTGTAGTGTATTGGCTTGACCTAAATCCTGGGATTTATGTTAAACCGTGGGTTATACAACCGTCCTCCCTCTATATACACACGTCACTACGACAGTAAGGAAAAGACAAAACAGTCTTCAACACATACAGAATTATTTACTTCTGTCAGATGTACACAAATGTAATCAAATCAAATGTTTTTTTGGAAAATGAATGGAGAAGTGGTGCATATAATCTGAATTAAATGGTAAATAAAAGAAAAAGAAATGATATATTTTTAACTTCTGTCTTTATTGAAAAATAGAATTAGGTTCATTGTGGTTCATCTCATTTAGTGCTGGAATGGATACATCGTGGGGATTTACTTCAAAATGGTGTCAGAGTTTGCTGTGAAGATAAAAAGAGATATTAAGATATTTTAATATTTATGTTTCAAGAAACACTGTATTACTACAAAAATGTGATTTTGGCCACGCAAGCATACACATTGAAATTTGATGTATTATAAACTGAGCTTATTTTTCTTAATATTAATAGCATTTCATTGGATTTTTTCTTTATATAGAACACACTTTTTATCATAACTTTGATAATATGATACATTTTTATTATGTTTAATTTTAGTCATATTATTTTTAGTTGTATTATTATTAGTTATATTTTTCTGTAGAGTATAACGTATGTTGTTGTTTTTTTTACCTGAGCAAATAAATGACAAATATTTTAACACTGATTTTACAAAAGACAAAAAATAAAATGCCATTCAGTGTAACAATTCATATACCAAATGATTTAACTTTTACAGGGTGTTTGCGGGGTCTTAAAAAGTATTTAAAGTTGATAAATCAATGTAGAGAAATTTAAGGCCCTTAAAGTATTAAAAAGTCTTAAATGCTATTTTGCAATGTATTAAATTTTGTATAATTTTTGATTATGCAATGCATGCTAAAGTTAGCCTGAATTAAATCTGTGAACATCAGGATGCTGTTTAGTTTATGAAATCAACTAGATTTGACATCATGCTGCTTTGTTTACTGTAGTTAGCAAGGCGCCAACCTGCTGAATTAGCTAGATTTAATAGATTCATATTCAGTATATGAATAATGTTTTAGTTTTGGATTAATTTCTTACATTAATATTAAGTAAATATACTGTAAGTTAAAATCTTGCCAGTGTTCCCGGTTGAAAAATGGTTATAAGGTCTTAAAATATATGGAAAGTCTTAAAAAGGTCTTAAAAGGTATTGAATTTCACTTTCTGGTTCCTGTATATACTCAATCTTAAATCTTAAGCTTTACCATAATCATTCAAACCACTAGGTTTTACTCATTTAAAATATATAAATTTATATTTATTAATATATAAATTACTAAACTCCCTCAAGGGGTTCCAAAACTTCTTGAGTTTCTTTCTTCTGCTGAACACTAAAAGAAGAAATTTTGAAGAAAGCTGGAAGTCTGCAACCATTGACTTGCAGAGTAGAAAGAACAAACACTATGGAAGTCAATGATTACAGGTTTCCATCTTTCTTCAAAATATCTTCTTTTGTGTTTAACAGAAGAAAGAAAGCCAAACAGGTCTAAAACATACGGAGGCCCGGAAGGGATGTGATGGCGGGGAAAAAACAGGGTGGGAGAAAGAAAAAAAAAGTGATAGGAATTTTTTTTTAGTTTTTGCGTTTTTTCCAAAGATTACGTTCGCTCGCAAAATTGTTTACAACAAACACTTCCTGTTCACTTCATACATTTCAACCCTCCTGTTTTAGCTGGGTTTCTCCCTTATTTTACCGTTTTATTTATATTTTAAAAGCATGCTGAAATGAACATAAAAATGTCTGCATTAAATTTCTTTCCGTTAAAGCTGCGCGTCGATTATCGCCCTGATAACTGATCCCAGATTAGCTTCTGTATACGCCTTATAAAGAGGAGCTAAAGTGCAGGACACTTTAGGATTCGAGTGTGTGTTTAAACAGACAATACACTTAATAAGATGTAAACATGTCTGTCCTGGCTGTTTTATTTTAAACAACTAATTTTCTCTTAAATGAGCACAAACAGTTACTAAAGTAATGGAATGCTTTCATTAGCCTATAGATCTGTGCATTCTTACAGTGACACCTCTGTTATCAAATAAAACGAGATTCATTTGCTGTTCTTCACTTGTTTGATAACAGAGGTGTCACTTTAAATGACGTATACATAAGCTGTTCTGGGATCAGTTTATCATACGGAGCGCATCCGTCAGTTTAAGCTTATACATGCATTCGCTGATTCAGGGGTTGCATATAAATGGCTATGATCGACGCACAGCTTTAATGGAAAGAATGTGAATGCAGACATTTTTATAAATTTCAGCATGCTTTCAAGATTAAAAATATATGAGAAATATGGGAAAATACTTATGATAGGATGATAGCAGGACAGAATGGTAAAATCTGGGAGAATACTGTTAAAAAAGGGAGGGTTGACATGTATGAAGTTAACAGGAAGGGTTTGTTAAAAACATCTTTGCGAGATAACACAATCTTTGCAAGGGAACGCAAAAACTGTTATTATATATATATATATATATATATATATATATATATATATATATATCACTGTTTTTGTTTTTCCCCCACCCAGTTTTATTTTATTCCACCTATTTTTCCCCCACCATCATGTCCCTTCCGGGTGGAAACACGTAAAAGATAAACGATGACAGAATTTGACAAAACTACCCTTTAATATAAGTTCAAGTCGGTTTAAATGCACTCTTACACTAAATGTCTCTGTTAAGATGATGGAAAAAGTTCACCAATAGAAGACTTTTTTTTAATCTGACACATTAAAACCAGATTCTGAAATGACAAACCTTCAGAAAGCTGTTTGTAAATGCGCTCTTGTTCTTCCCTCAGCTTCTTCTCTTCCTCCTCAATCCTCCTCTCTTCAGCAGCAATGGGCTTCAGGTAATCTGGTGAGCAGTTTGATTGAAAAACACCATAATAAGACAATTTAACCATGCAAGAAATCAAGACACCCCAATGAAGTATATATTTTTGTAATGATATAAACACCTACCATATCTTTGCTTCCCATAAATCAACCCAATGAGCAAGGCAGACCATCTTGCAGTCTGAAATCAGAGATAGAAGCCTGATTTTTGAGTTTTTCAAAGACATCATGAAGCACTCAGCGTTTGATAATTAGATCTTTACTAAACAATGATTCAAATAAATCCACAGCATGAAGAAATAGGCTAACGTTACAACGTGATACAATTATAGTTACTGAACACTGGCAAGCAAATTACAGCTCTATTGTAGATATTTGACGACATTTAGGTGTGCCATTATGAAATAGAAAGGTCAATTATTTGAAGCACCGCGTTTTCATATGTCGATTTTATATTAATAGTAAGCTTACGCTGTATGAACTTAAATAAATTCAGAAATGGCAGTGGACATCTATACATTTTCACCGCTAAGTAAAAAATAATAATAAAGAGTCGACATAAAATGGTTAATTTATTCGCTGGTTTCTTAGTTAGCAATAACGCTACTGACCTTGTAGTGTTATGGATAAGCGGCTAACAGGCTAAGCTAACGTTAGCACATTAAAGCTAGCACCGCTATTTTCTGATGATCAACGGAGGTCGCTGATAGAGACTGACTTAAATAAACGTGTTTCTTGACATGAATTAAACTGAGGGTCATGTGCCTAATGTAAGTTGTACCTTGATAAGAGGGGAGACCTGTACAGGAGGAACCATGTTTGAATCGGTCTCTTCAGGCAGGAAGAAGTCAGTGCGGCGCTGTCAGTCTGTTGTCCCTGCTCTCGCCTTTGATTTCAGCGTCTTCACTGTCAGCACACTACATCAGCATCTGATTTTCTTACTTTTATTTTTATAACTGTAAATAGACTCAAATAATTCTAGAGTTTGGTCAACTTTTTTGGTATGAATTAGGAGTAAAAATTTGGATAATAAATAATATGAATAATATTTGGCTATTACATTTTAAATAGCCCATATAAAAATAAAAATAGTTCATACAGTAGCTTCATTAAAGAGTATGTGAAGAGTTCATATGCAAAAACCTCTGAGTGCCATCTGAACATTTTCTTCTAATAACTTTTCTCAAGTTATTTTCATTGCTTTTTTTATGAAATAACTGAACAAACATATAGGAGGCTAAGAAAAATGCTCATTGTTGAAGGAAATTCCAGATGTTTTTGCATCTGAACTTTTCATTTATTTATTTATTTATTATTAATTCATGCATTTATTTATTTACTTACTAAGCCTACTTATTTGGCATATGGTTTATTCATTCATTCATTCATTCATCTTCTTGTCGGCTTAGTCCCTTTATTGATCCGGGGTCGCCACAGTGGAATGAACCGCCAACTTATTCAGCAAGTTTTTTCGCATCGGATGCCCTTCCAGCAACAACCCATCTCTGGGAAACATCCACACACACACTCATACACGGACAATTTAGCCTCCCCAATTCACCTGTACCGCATGTTTTTGGACTGTGGGGGAAACCGGAGCACCCGGAGAAAACCCACGCGAAGGCAGGGAGAACATGCAAACTCCACAAAGAAACGCCAACTGAGCCGAGGTTCGAACCAGCGACCTTCTTGCTGAGAGGCGACAGCACTACCTACCTACTGCGCCACTGCCTCGCCTCATATGGTTTATTATTACTGTTTATTTTGTAAATGTTATTGTTTAACCTTTTACCTTGTATTGTTTCTCCTAGGTTGCTAGCGGTAAATAATGCATTAAAACTACATTCTCTTAGTTAAGAGAAATTATTTGTTTATGCCAATAATAATAATAATAATGTTATTCATATTTTTTATCGTTCACTATTTAAAAAGTGTCTTTTAGCAGCTTAAATAGATCTAAAGAAAGTGTGACAGTTAGGCTTCTTTAAAGTATGGTGTAAATATATAAAAAGTAAAAATATTTAGTACACACTTAAATAATACAGTGTTTCTTATATGTGTTTTAGTATTTAGTGTTTTAGTTGTTTGGACCTGTTAATATTATCATAATTAGTATTAACCCCTTAATTTTTGTTATTTACTTAGTCCTACATTCATTCATTCATTCATTTGTTTTCGGCTAAGTGCCTTTATTAATCAGGGGTCGCCACAACGGAATGAACCTCTAACTTATCCAGCACATGTTTTACGCAGCGGATGCCTTTCCAGCTGCAACCCATCACTGGGAACACCCATACACTCTCATTCACACGCATACGTACGGACAATTTAGCTTACCCAATTTCCCTTGTTTGGACTTTGGGGGGAAACTGGAGCACCTAGAGGAAATCCATGTGAACATGGGGAGAATGTGCAAACTCCGCACAGAAATGCCAACTGACCCAGCCGAGGCTCAAACCAGCAACCTTCTTGCTATGAGGTGACACCGCGCCACCACGCAGCCCATGTATTTTATAACTATTTTAAAAGTATCTTTTAGCAGCTTAATTAAATAGACCTAAACATGGTATGACAATTAGTTTCTTAAAGATATGGTGTAAATATGTAAAAAGTTTAATTATACACACTCAATTAACAATGTTTGTATAAGTGTTTTAGTTGTTATGACCTGTTATTATTATTATAATTATTATTAACTCTTTTTATTATTTCATTTACTCAGTTACTCAATATGAACAAAAAAATTTTTTTGCCTACTTTTTAACCTTCTTGGCAGTTTCCTTGAAGTATTTATTTATTAATCGTAGTATATTAATTAGTCAAAATCATTACTATTATACAAGGACTTCCATCATCATACTTCCTAAACAGACACTTGACATCAGTCTCCAGGTTTGTTTTTAAATATGCAGACGGACGTCCTCCTTCCTTTTGAATCTATTTCCAGGGGTGACGTCGCCTGTGTAACTGCCAACACAGGTGTCAGTTTCCAAATCCTGCAGGGTTAGAAAGCATGTTGGAATGCTCGCTGGTTAAATTTAAACACCACCGACAGCATGTGAAAGAACTTCCCAAAAAAAAGCTCTGATGTGACATTAAACCATTCACTTCAGTAACTCACGATTATAAACCTTTAAGTGTGTGATCAGTAAACCTTATATCATCCTCCCACATGAACTCTTCCCCTAATAGAAAGGCATGCAAACTCATTACAGCGGCCACTCTAAATAGAACAATGATGTGGTTCACTGGTATTTAACAGATGCATTGCAAAAATACAACCGACTTGTTTTGGAACATGACAGCAAGTGCTCAGTCATAACAGCTCATCGACACATACTGGAATGTTCTGAGGCACCATATAAAAGCACAGAGTCGCGTTCGTTGGGACAGAAGCACAGAAGAAGCCAAACAGCTCAACAGCAAACCCGAGAAATCCACTGAAGATGCTTTGCCCGAGCACATTTCAGCCTCATCTGAGCCCATTCATGGACTTCCACTGGCCAGTTCGCAGTCTGTGGCCTGAGACCAGACCTCTGTTCTTTCAGTTCGAGCAAGAAATGATGAGACACATGCAGGAGATGAGGCACAACATGGAGTTCATGGAGCGCCTGCATCAGAGGATTTTCGACGAGATTGACCACGTTTCACCCATGACGACTTTCAAGCCCATTTCATTCCAGCTCGGAAAGGAAGGAAGCCATTATGCATTGACACTAGACACACAAGACTTCTCTCCAGAAGAGCTCGCCGTTAAACAAGTGGGAAGAAAGCTGAGGGTGAGCGGAAAGACGGAGAAGAAGCAAGACGATGGGAAGGGATCCTATTCCTATAGATGCCAGGAATTCAGACAGGAGTTTGACCTTCCCGAAGGTGTGAATCCTGAGTCAGTGAGCTGTTCTTTAAACAATGGCCAGCTGCAGATACAAGCACCAAGAGAAGGTAACACTGTGAGCAATGAGAGAGTGATTCCTATTACATACACTCCTGCTGTGAAGAATCCTGCTCTTCAAAACTCAGAGCCGGAGAACCAAGCGGTGGAGGCAGAGGCTGCTGAAAACTGAGCTCAGCCTCTGTTGAATATGTAGCCACAGTGGAACAAATGACTCTGTGAAATGTCCAGATGCAGAACGGATTGTATTCGAATTTGAAAAAGACCATTTTATTGAACTGTAATGACATTTTGATTAATGTATTACGATTCACTGGAAAATAAGTCAAATACTTGTGTTGCACAATATATTTGTTATTGTGAAGTTGCAAATTGGAGATGTTTTTTGTCAGAAAGCTTATTTTGTGTACATTTAATAAACTAACAGTAAAATTTAGTTTTTGTCCTGTGATCATAAATTTTCAGAGAGTGGAATAGAATGGCTTTTAAAAAATAAATAATCATTCTTGTTTTCCAAAGAGGAACAGATTTTAAAATATTACAAGCCTTTCAAAACAGACCTGTTGTGAGCTCTGATGTGGCTGATCATTCAGTCATTTATTTTCCTTTGGCTTAGTCTCTTTATTGATCAAGGGTTGGCACAATGGAATGAACCGCCAACTTAAGTTTTACTGAAGCTTTACTTTAGCTGAAGCTCTCAGCTGCAACCCAGTACTGGAAAACACCCATACACGTTCACACTTACCTATAGTGCATCTCTTTAGACTTTGGATGTCTTTGGAGCAAATAGAGGAAACCCATGCCAACGAGGAGAACATGCAAACTCCTTGCTGTGAGGCAACAGTATCCACTGAGTCATCGTGTTGCCCCTGGATGGAAATTTTTTGTTTATTAAATGCATATTTTTCAGTAAACTTAAAATGTCCTGTTTCTATAGATACAATTATCAATTTTTTTAATTTTTTTATGAAAATAATGTGTTGTTTTTATTTCATCATATTATTTAATGAGCATAATTGGATTGTAATTATTTCTGTCAGTAAACAAAGTTTGTTGGTTTGGTTTGGCTCACGCCTTCAAATACTATATATATATATATATATATATATATATATATATATATATATATATATATATATATATATATGTGTGTGTGTGTGTGTGTGTGTTTGTGTGTGTGTGTGTGTGTGTGTGTGTGTGTGTGTGTGTGTGTAATTTGGAAAAATGTCTATAAATAAATCGATAATACTTCCAGAACTCCAGAACAATATACACTAGCTATACACCAATTAGTTAACTTGTTTACCATGTTAAAAGAGTTTACATGTTAGAAGAAAATCAACTTCAATCAAAATCAAAATCAAGTTTTTTCAAGATGCCACATCACTGTTCAGTGTCTAGTAGTAATAAAATGCTGAGATTTAAATTCCTTAAGATATAGGATAACCTTTGACAGATGGGAATGAGCAGGTTAATAATTTTTATTAACTCAACATGATTTAAACAATGGCAAAAACGGCTGGTTAAGTTAATGCCAGCTCCATACATTTAAACTGTTTTTTTTTTTTTTTTTTCATTTTAGGTAGGCTTTTAGGTAGGCTCATGTTGGTGGTGGATGAGGAGATTCCCCACAAAGTGTAAAGCGTTTCGAGTGCCCAGAAAAGCGCTATATAAATGTAAGGAATTATTATTAGTATTATTATTTAAAGTGCGTGGGTTTAGGAAGATCTCCTAAATTCACAAAAAGATTGGTTTCTGCAGTATGAAAAAAAAAGCAAAGGTCAGTATTTAGGATTTATGGCCTTACATTCACTGTAAAGAATACAGGGTTCCATGTGATTTATTCATGTTGTCCTAACACAAATCGATTAAGTTCACTTAAAGTTAAGTGGATTGAACATAAAACAAATAAGCTGTCCCAAAAATCTCAAAAATTGTGTTGTTTGAGCTCATTTTAAATAAGTAGTTTAAAAAAGCAGCAAACGTTTTTGCGTGTTTGTGACAATATGCATAATTGTCTGTAATATAACTGCAATATTAATTGATATAAAGAGTTCAGTGGATATTAAAATAGAAGTGTGGGATTTTTTCCAGTATTTAAGTAGTTCTGCAATGTGACAAAATATCTTAAAATTATATATAAATATTAAGCGTATGCTAGTTGTATGTAGCAGTATTTGTCACTCTTAATGCTATTTTTACTTTCTAAATAAAAAATAAAAATAATACATAAATTTTGTATATTTATATTTACAAATTAATCTGAATTTTTCTATGATTTAATGTACCTCACAAATATATATATATAAAATGGATATGAGTAAAAGTGTACTAATTACTCCAGCCCTTCAGGTGGCGGTACTGCTTTCAGACAACACACTCCCGTCCATATTTCAGTTTGAGAGAAAATTTCCTTCCGTCTGTTTCACCCGCCACAAACAAGCAAGTAGTTCGGTCCAGTTATGGTACTTTTAATATGCCGTTTTTGTGTGTAACGAGGTAAAAAGCATATGTTTTGCGTATAGAGTGGCGAGTAAACATGACAGCAGTAATTCACGAGTTGCTGTCCTCCGTTATGGGGGTTTTAGTTGAAAGTGTCGTGTCGGAGTTAAGCAAACATCTCTCTGACTTGACGACTGTTTTATCCGAAGAGTGGAAGCGCAGCAAGGGGAAAGCAATGAACAAAAACAAACTAAAACAGGCCAACCAAGCCAAATCTGTAAGTTCTAGAACAAACGCAGTGTCTCTTTCTCTTCATGAAGAGCTGAGTGCTGGTTGACTGTTGTTTACATTGTAGCTGTAATTACAACTGGAATATAAAGTTTACAGTGCAGAGGATATATCTAAAAGTCAGTATTAAGTGTAATTACATGTTGATTATTTTATTAATAATCCAAATAATCTTGCAACTCTTATCTATTTCATGTTAAGCAGTTGCTGACCAAATGGTGTGCAAGTAAAAAATGTAAACAACTTTTGAATGTCAGTACGTTTTAAAACCTTTCATTTTTTCATTTGATACATGACTGGAGATTATTTTGATATTTAGACACAAATCTTTTTTTGTAAGTGTTACATGCAAATGTGTGTATCGTGTAAATGGATGATAATATTGTGTTTTGACAGAAAGATTAAAAGACTTAAAAGTAATTTAAAATTATTCTTATACTAAACCAAATACTACTATAACAAGTATTTTGAAAAGTTGTGCACTTTTAATAATCCAGGCTATCCACGAGGTCTTAAAAAATCTTAAAATTTCTTAAATTTCAAAAACAAAATTATAGGCCCTACAAAGTCTTAAATTTCCTTAAATATTTTTTGTTGTAGGTCTGACATCATGTTAAACAAGTCTTATTTTTTCTTTCCAAGTAAAGCTACCCTATTACAGATAATCCATCTCAAAACTATATTTGTTTTTATTGCAAAGAGATACAAATCACAACAGCTGTTAGACACGTTTACAGCAAATTCTCCTATTTAATTCCTTAAGCAGGGAAAGTAAACTAAAGCAACACATCCCTTCACATAATCTTCATACAAAAACTATTTACAGATATAACTGGGCCATTAGAAAAAATCCTTAGTGTTTAGCTCAGTATAAGTTTAAAATTTCAAAATGGTCTTAAAAAGTCCTTAACGAAACATGCAGAAACCCTGATAATTCCAGGTTTTGCTATGGCAAGATTACAGTAATTATGTGAGAAGAAATAGGATAATAATCACCTCCAATAGGAAAATTGTAAAGATTTATTTATAAAGTCAATACTGCTACTGGAAAAAACAAAAACAATACTACTGATGATGACAAAACAAACTGACCATATAATTGATGGTGCATAAACATTTTATAATCTCTTTCATTCAAATAAATTTTAGAGAGTTGGTATTTTTTAGAATATGTTACATGTTACATTCGTTAATATTCTCTGAATATTAATAATGTATAATTTTTTTATAAAGCGCCTTTAAAACTAGCATCTCAAGGCACTTTACAGACACAAAATGTGCAGCAGTAAAAGATACAAGGATGAATGCAAAAAATATATAGTAATAAAAAATAATTAAAAGCACATAATATAACAATATTAATTTTAGTTTTGTAGTATATAGTATAGAATGTTTATTCTCTTTTAGAAAGTTTTTCTGCATAGAGAATTACAAGGTGGCCATCTCCATTACATTTTTTTACCATGCATGCCTTTTTACAAAAATCAAGCAGGCAGTCATGGCTACAATAGACCCCAACCAATCTCAAGCATTAGTCATGTATTTAAGTTTTTTTTTTTTTTTTACTTTAGTTTTTTTAAATAAGATAATGTTTTGCTTGTTTTTTTATTCTCTCTGCCTTATTTTGAGCCAGAAAAAAAATCTTTTTAGTCAAGTCAATTTTATTTCTACAGTGCTTTATGTTGTACAGATTGTGTCAAAGCCACTTTACGAGATTGAAAAAGATAAAAAGACAGCATTTCAGTTGGTGAGAAATATACAGTATATCAAACAGGTAGCAGAGTAGTGGTAGACTGCTGCTGTTTTTCTGGTCAGAATACATTGAAAACGAATAACTTTAGAGTTCTTTAGTATTCAGAAAAATACAATTATTGCAGATAACCCATTGTGTTTAAGTACTCGCATATGTTGTGCATACAAAGCATGCAAGTCAAACATTTTGATGTAATAAGAACAGTAAATTCACTTTTTGTAATTAAACTTTTGTATCTGACACAGGAAATAGTATGGGGTTCATGTAGTTAACAATCTCAAATGATCTCTTTTGCATTTCAGAAGGAGTTTGCTGCATTCATGGAGCTGTTGAGTAAAGCCACGGTAGAGACGATGGTGAAACTGATCCACGATCGCATCTCAGCTCAAGTATTGGAAGTTACAGCAAAGTCTCAACTCTCACAGGAAGACAAGCTAGATGGTATGTTTTCAAGAGCCACCATTATGCATTAAAAAAGGTCATATTTTGGTTTTGGGGGATCCAACAACAGGCTGATATGCGTGCAAGGTCAAAAAACACTTTCATTGTCTTAAAATATGCATTTATTTTTACCTAATTATGTCAACGACTCCCATATGATTCGTTCAGCGATTCATTTGTTCTCAAACCCCTCCTTAGCGCGATGGTAATCAGCGCTGATTGGTCTGATTACCCAGTCTATTGCGACTTGTCGATTGCATTCAGTGTGAGACAGTTGGTGATATTAACGCCCTTTTTGTGTACATTAGTATACGTGAGGGGGCAAACTTTTCAAGATGGGTGGTCATTTTTAAGTCGGCCATCTTGGATCCAACTTTTGTTTTTCAATAGGAAGAGGGTCATTTGACACATTAAACTTATTGGGAACTTCACAAGAAAAACAATGGTGCTTGGTTTTAAAGGGTCACGAAACACCAAAACACATTTTTTGAGCTGTTGACAGTCATATATGT